GGGGCACCGGGCAGGGCACACTGCGGAGGGCCGGCCACACTGCCGAGGGCGCCCTCAGCCGCCGCCCGCTCCGCAGTCAGGTCGCGAGCGGCGGGGCACCCCTTCTCCTGAAGCTGTGGTAAAAAGGCATCGGGGTAACACGAGAGTGGGGCGAAGCACGCGTGTCAAGGTCATTCACAAGGCACCCGCTTACCGGCATGTAGGGGTCTGCCAAGACGGAGAGGAAGTACTTGTGGCCGTTGTCCTTCACGAGGTCAGCTTGGCAGGACTGGGGAGACACGGAGGAGAGGCCTGAGCACGGCACGAGCACACACGTGGCAGCCCACACCGTCACCCTTCTCGAGTCTTCATTTGGAAGACTCGCTGGAGCCACTCATGTGGACACATGGGCCACGGCTAGGAGGGGCTGGAACCCGTGTGCTCTCACGTGGAGGCCACCTGAGCGGTCTCTGCAAGCACCTGAGGTGAGGTCAGATGCTGGCCCCCAGGGCCTCTGCCCGCCTCCCTACGTCTTCCCCGCGGGGACATCCAGCATGTGAAAGCCGTTTCTGCAGAGCCTGGCCCCTGCCGAAGCAGGCCTGGATTCTGCGGGGACTTACAAAATGTGGAAAGCAATCATGCCTGTGCGTGAGAGTAAGGAGTGATGTGTCCACGGCCTGATCTAACAGGCGCTTCCCAGAGGCCGGCTCCCTGGCCCCAGGAACGGCTGCGGAAGCTGCAGGCGGCAGGCGAGCACCCCCTCCAGCCCGCACGCTTCTCCAAGCTGCACACGTGGTCACAACCCTGTGCCATCACTCACCACGGCTCTGGAGGCCCACCATGTGGCAATGGCTCACACCAGAGAGGGCCGGGAAGGGCCTGGGGCTCGGGAAGGAGGCCGCGTGCTCCCTGCAGTGACGGCTGAGGGCCGAGGGGGTCAGGAGGGTGAGAGGGATGGACACTCGGGTCTGCTGGGCAATGGCGGGGTGAGCCCTGAACCTGAGGAAGTGAGCATGGGGACGAGGGGACAGGCCACAGGCTACAGGCCTGGCTGGAGCTGTGGTGGGGACTGGGGCCGGTGCCGCTGGGAGGGCGGGTCCCGCTGGGGCAGGAGGTGGGCCAAGGCCGAGGCGTGGGAGGTGTTCCCGTGGGGTCCGAGAGGGCGTGGCAGGGTGAGCCAGTGCCTGGCAGAGCCCAGTAGAGGGCACCAGGCCCTGTGCGGAGGGGGGACAGGAGCCTGGGCTGGGCACCTGACAGCTGAGGCTCGGACACACCAGCACAGCTGCCAGTGCCGCGTGTGGGGCTGAGGGCATGCGGCACTCGTCAGGGCCGGGGTGTTCTGGGCCTGGGGATGGCGGGAGATGGTGCTCAAGGCAAGGAGGCCTCCAGGTGGCAAAGGCGTGGCCCAGAGCGACCAGAGGGGCTGGCGGGCTCTGAGGCTGGCTGACCGGGGCCGTGGCTTGAGTGCTGGCCTCTGGAGAAGACTAGGTTCCCCACTCCCGGGGCTGAGAGGTGCCAGGAAGGTTTCGGGCCCACAGAGCGAGGAAAGGGCAGCCCTTGAGACAAAACTAAGTTCCGAGTCCAGGTTCTCCTGTCTGCTGTGGGACCCGGTAAAGCTCGACAGATCTGGGTTAAGTGGTGGACACCCGGGCCACTCGACAGCGTGGAAATGCAGCCTGAAAACCGCAGCAGGACTTGCAGACCACGGTTGCCCTCACCCCACAGAGAGGCTGGGATGACTGGGCTTCTAGAACCAGCACTGGCGATAGCCTGGACTCTGCAGGACCCCCCGAGAAGCACAGTCCGCCCGTTCCCAGCACGCCCCACACGGCTGGACCACACCACCAAAACCCGGGGCTGCAACCTGCAGGCTTAGCATGGAGGAGAGTCGGGGGCACACGGCCCCGGGCCCTTGCAGCGGCGCCCACGGGCTGAGCATGGAGGAGAGTCGGGGGCCAAC